TTACCACCTTAATGGACGCCATCTTGGAATTTATCATGATGACGTCATCATTCCGATCAAATTTTTAAATGAGAGTGATGAGTAACTATTTAGCCAAGTTGTTGTTACATTTCATATCCACAGTATATATAAAAGTGACCAAAAGCATAAATTTATTTCCCCTACCCCCATCTTAAATAGTTTAAAATAGGGTATTTTAGGTCAAAATTTCAAAGTGCTGTAAAAAAAATTGCCCAAGCCCTAGGCATGGGGATTTTTTTTCTGAGACACTATAGGGTATGCTGATTCAGAAAAACCAAAAATTAATTTTCCTTTACGTTTTTCCCGCTAAAGTTCATTTCTGCAGTTTTACAACCAGACTAGCACTATTGTTATTAACGCTTTGTGCTGCAGTTTCTGGTGCTGTGTCTGGACTGATTGCGCTTCCTTGGTTAGTTGGGTTTTGTTGTGGTTTTGGATAGGTTTTTTCCGGTTTGATGTTTACCCGGTCTCTGGTGTATTGTATGCCAGAGGGTGTTTCAACAGTGTAGTTCCTGTCAGATGTTTTCGATACTACCGTAGCCGGTTGCCATATTGACTTAGGTTTCATCTGAAACCTGCATGGTTGTCCAATGTTGAACTTAGGTGGTTGTTTTTCAATATGGCTTTCTCCATATGCCGATGTTCGACGTTCGATTTTTTCACCGTACTGTGTGGTAGCTAGTGTTCCAAAGTTTTTTATTGCTGGCAGATTTGTTTTTATGTATATGTGTCCGAACATCAAAGTGAAGGGTGAGGGGATGTCGTTTGCAATTGGTGTGTCTCTTAGTGTGCACAGTATTTCGTTGATGTCTGTAAGTCTGCTTTTCTGGCGATGTTCCTTTCAGCTCTCCCATTTCCTGCTTGGTGGTATGGTGCACTGGTAGTGTGTAGTATCTCATATTGTCTGCAGTACTTTTCAAATCCTTCGCTGACTAGCTGTGGTCCATTGTCAGATATTATGTTTTCTTGGTATCCAAACTGTGAGAATATTTTATCCAGTCTGGTATATATGGTTTTGCTGTTAGTGTTCATAAGCTTTTCAACCCAGACATAAGCTGTATAGTAGTCGACACAAATTAGGAAGTCTTGGTTCTGTATTTCAAATAGGTCGATTCCAACTCTCTGCATAGGCATGAATGTAATGGAAGTACAGGTAGCTTCTTCTGGTTGTTCTGATATGTCTGACACAAATCACATTCTGTGATCATTTGCTCTATATCAGCATTTAGACCAGGCCAGTATATGCTTTGTCTCGCACGAAGGCGTGTTTTTTCTCTATGCCCTGGTGTTGCTTATGCAGTATGCTGAGTAGCTTCTTTCTCAGGAGTGTTGGAATGACGATTCTGTTTCCCTTGATAACGATTCCATCATACACAGCAAGTTCTGATCGGTGTTCTCAGTATGCGTATGTGAACTCGTTGCTTTGGTTTCTTTGGCTAGGCCATCCTTCGATAATGTATGGGATCAGTGCCTGCAAAACTGTGTCTGTTTTTGTACTTTCTCTAATGTTGTCAATGACAAAAAGGGCCATGTTTGACACTTCATGAACCTGCACGTTCATGTCTGGGTAAGTGAACAGCTCGCCTTTTGTTTCTATGCAGCGTGACAGGCAGTCTGCTATTGGAACTTGCTTTCCTGGAACATATTTGATTTCGCAGTCATATCCTTGCAGCTGAAGCATTAGTTTCTGGAGCTGTGTTGGCATCTTTGATAAGTCCTTTTTCTGGATGCTTTCTAAGGGCTGGTGGTCAGTATGTATCTTGAAATGTTTTCCAAACACATATGTTCTAAAGTACTTGATTGAC